AAATATCTGAAAATGTTATCTGACATTTGACACGTGACACAATTGTAGAGGGTGAAAATCTTATCTGAAATATGAGATTATAATTTTTTAAAAATATCTGAAAATGTTATCTGACATTTGACACGTGACACAATTTTAGAAGGAATTTTCTTGGAATAATTTTTATTAAAATATAAAATACCGAAAATTAACTACGAAACTTTAAATGCCGTTTTGGAAGGCCAAACGACCTCAAAATGCCAAAATCCATCATACATCACGGAAAAGCCGTGAGTTTGACTCGTGGCATCGTTCCCTTTCCGAAATGGTATTTTGTGTCCTAATCGGAGCTCGGACGACAAATCTGCAAATTCCCACTACGTCCTTTTTCTAGCTCAACCGCGATAAAATCTGCCATTTGTTCTACATCAGACGTGGCACAATTTTAGAGGGTGAAAATTTTATCCGAAAATTTAATTACAAAAGATTATCAAAATTAATGGTTTAAACTATAAAAAAATAGAAAATAAAGTACAATGAATAGTAATTGCCTTAGACTTGCCCTAGACTTTGCCCTTGTGGGTGGAACCACAAATGCAAAGGCTGACACTATTCACGTGAATAGTGGCAGCCCTTGCTTGCCCTTGCCTTAGACTTAGCCCTTGTGGGTGGAGATGCTCTTAGAATGTTGTGTTTTACTCGAATTTGGATATTGGCCCGATTTTATTTCTGGAGCTTGAAAAGTCTCTTCTCAATCTCAGATCTTTAATAATTATTACATACTTTAACATACAATATGGATATGGAACTTACTTTTTAATCCAAACAATTTTTGAGCAAACATGGACTGTGGGATGTGGAAACCAACAAAGATGTTATTGTTTTTTTCCCCTTTCTAGTGAAAAGAATATTGTTTGGAAGTAGGAAAAAAATGTGAAAAAATCATGAGACGGGCAAGAGTTCCAAAATTACAAAAGGACAGCTTTCATGTGGGTCATTGTTTATTGACTCAGAAGTCAGAACGCAGAAAAGAGTAATAATTTGTGGACCCGGGCCATGTACTTGTACTTTTAACCCATGGGTGGGCTTTAGATTTCCTTCTTTTTTACACAGTCCCCGCAAGCCATATATATATGGACATGGATGTGAAATTGTGGACCCGACCCAAGTGCTTGGACTTTTACCCCCCACAGCTGGTGGTGCAATGCATAATTAGGTTACATTTTTCACTAGTTTTGCATTGACATTCAATAATGCACAAAACAAATTGTGAAAACAATTATGAATGCTACCAAAAAGAGAAAAAAAAAACTCCAAAGGAAAAAATGCTGGATTAGATTCAAAGGAATAGGTAAAAGGCTACGAATGAATTTATGTCCAAATCAATCACAAATGATTCTTCTGGTTTGTCATGCAAGTCAATATAGGTATCTTTTGGAGAGCCATATAGGTAATTTTTGTCAATTTTGTGCTGGGGGACATTCGTGTCAAGGTGTAATGCAAGGAGGATATTCAAATACAAGATCTCATATGCAAGAGTAATCGCTCTTAACTACTCGAACACATAACCGCTTAAGAAAATTGAAATCACAGGGCACCATATGTGATATTAAACCATGAAATAATGTTGGCATTTCGGATATGAAATTGAGCTCCATATCAAAGTGGGAAAAAGAATCGGAATTGAAGGCTACTCTACTCCACCTTTATTTTACACGATCAGGATCAAAGGCTTTTCCAGGTTCCAAAGCCTAGTGCTTGTAAATTTCCTCCTCAATTAGCACACTAATTAAAGTCATTGTCGGATCCTTCTTTTTTTGTTTGTTTTGTTTTTAGTTGCTGCTTTAGCTACACACAAAGTTCCTCTTTCTTATCCATTCTTATTATTTTATGTAAACACAGATTAGTGTGGTTAAACCAACATGAAGAGGAAGAGTAGAGACAAAACAATATTATTAATTATTATCTTTATTATAATAGGCTAATATTAACCCACAACCGTAACTCTCGGCTTTTTTCCTGAATAGAAGTAGAACTTTATTAGTTCTGAACTATTGTCAGTGACCACATGAAAGTCGGGACACAAGCACATCAATTCATAAGGACTGAAAAAAATAATAATAAAAAACTAGACACGGGTGATACAATTGTAACCTCATTAAAACCTTACCTTAAAAAACCTCGGGTAAGGAAAATCCGGTAAGGAAAAAGGGTACCACTGCATCACAACCGGCCAAAAAACAACTCCTAAACTACAAGGATTGGTGCTCTGAGCCCACATAATCAGGATTAATAATTAATTAAAAACCCTTAATGCCAAGGACACCACAATGATCTCATAATGATGCATCCAAGTCCTACACATATCTCTTGTTTTGCTAGTTACTGTTGTAGGCTTGGGCTCACTTTGTTCTGTGTTTCAATAGCATTTCTCGGAGCTCCACCGGGTCAATCTCGTCCGAACAATTGGAGGGCCTGTAATATCCAGTTAGGGGATCTGGGGCCCACGCAGATGAAGAGCCAAGCCCAGATTCTTCTTTCACAGCATTCACGACCCGCTCTTCTACCATGGAGCTCCTGGACCCTCCCTCACCCAATGCAGCTGGCAGCGGCCCATGTGACGCAGCTGCGTAACAACGCCTGTTTCACAACAATTAAGAACAGTTATCCCTGCACCCGAGGTCATGTATTTAAATAACTAGTATAAAAAAAGAACAAAACTGATAACGAAAATTGTTATTTAGTTCTAAAGAAAAAGAAAACAAAAACACAAAAACTTGACAGAGTAAAACGCACCGTTGGATAAGGAACTTAGTTTTGGGGAGATAGGAAGCCAGTGGATTTGATTTGGTGTATAACAGAGAAGCCATGAGAACGAAGGAGAAAGGGAAAGTGAGGTGATGTTCCTCTCCCTTCTTCTGTTCGTGGGCTCTCTTTGGGGTGGTGGCGTAGAGAAGGGTTAGGGTTTGTGTTTGCCTTCTTTATATATAGACAGGGTAAATGGGTGAAGGCTGTAAAGTCATTGACACGTGGATGCAACGCTGTTACGTTTCACTGATTTATTTTTTTATATATTTTAATGTCTATGGTTAGGAATAA